CTCATTTGGAAAGGTAAATGTTGGTCATCAATTTAGATTATTCTAGCAATCAATATATTTCCTATCCAAATCCTGAAATTACACAATGTTTTAGAAGTTCTAAAACCTGCTTTAGATTGCTCAACCATATTGTTCTAATTGTGGCAAAATGCTCAAAGTGTGGTGTGGGACATTACATCATTTCTGGGAGCATCTGCGACTTACTAAATACAAGCTGATGGGAGGATACGCTCTATCATTGAATGGAAACACTGTTAAGTGAAATCATCATTAATATTGATCATGTAAGTTTCTACTGGAAGTCTGTGACCCTTAAATGGGCTCCTGTCTTAACACCAAGACTACAACTCTCACCTTATGCAGCAGAAGTAGCAGAGGGTTGGTTGCAGGTAATGATTCTTGTATTCATGGTTGGCCTTCAAGTCTTCTAGAAAGGAAGAAAAGCAATCATTTCTTTTATTTTTTCCTCCCCTGGCTTAAGAGTCCCATGGAAAGCCTATTCCTGTTAATTTGTTTTCTTTGACTGTTAATATATTTGGGAAAGGATTAGAAGGAAATACTGTACTAGAATAGTAAAATAAAGAGACTTTGCAGAGCTCGCCAGAGAGCTAAAGTTTGCCCAGGGCCTCAGGGACTAGTACAGCCCAGCAGTTGAATTTTATTATACATGTAATTTTCCCAAACGATGCCTTCTTTGATTCTTTTTACAGTAAATGTGAAATTGACTTCAGGTTTTAGGCACTCAACTATATTTTTAAAGGCATTTTAATCTTCGCGAGGTGATGAATGCCTTCGTAGACTGGCTAATAGGCACACGTCAGCACACGTCTTAGTGGCTCTTTCTATTTTGAACTTTCCTTTGCAAGTTTTCTTTGATCCTTTTACTTTGTACTTAGAGTTGGATTACTTCTTCTTTAAAGCAAGCAGACAATTTCCCTTGATGTGGATTTTGGGGAAGTCCACAGTAATTCTTCCTCCTATTTTCCCTTTCCCAAAAAATATGCTTCAGCAACACAGGTTACTCCTAAACTAAGGGACAGAATATTTAAGGATCACTTTGACATCTGAACAGAAAGGAGAAATACATAAAGATAGAAAGTAAAAACATTTTCAAGAGAAAAAGCCCAAGTGCCCTGCCTGGGAATATTTATTTGAGGACAGGAACTAACATGTGTTTATCTGTCTATCCCAGCATCTAGCTTGCACAGTGGTCTGGCAGCCTTTGTTTGTAGAATTGAAATACATGGATATTTGCTTTGATTCTTGAGAGATGCTGTCAAATAAACACTTCTTCAGAAACCCAGGTCTTTACCACCCAAGTGACAGGGTTTTTCTTGGGGAAAGGATAGTGCCTCTTTCTATGCAAAATGAGGAAGAAAACGGTTGTCTTTAATTAAATGTTGCCTCAGCTTTTAGTTCTTCCTTTCATTTTCTTCAGAATTATCAGTTTTTCTTCCCTAGCCTATCAAATTGAATTCTTAGCTTGTTTCTATTGGCTCAAAATTCTGTTCAATCTTTTATTAGTCTTTTCTGAACATGTTGATTGTTTTCTTGTGTGATTCACCAGTTTCAGAGAAAACTGAGTTAAAATAATCCTTTATATTTGCAGAGTGAGTGCATATTACGATGATCAGGTTTATTTTATCGCCAAAATGATCCTTGTTTCCAGTAGTATTTTGCCTTCTCTTTGCTTTTTCTTCTCTTCTTTAAATTGGTATCCAGTTACTTTCAACTTTTATGGGAATTTAACTTTAAACGTGTTTGTTGTTTGTGAACGGTAAATACACAGATGGTTAAAATCCAGGCAAACGCTGTCTTTCTTTTTTTTAAATAATAGATTTATTGAAATAAAACTCATACAATCATAAAATTTACTCTTTTGTAGTGTAGTGCTCAAGTGGTTTTTAGTATATTGGGAGTTGTACAACCATTACCACTATGTAACCTTAGAATACTGTCTTCCTCACTCCCAGATGAAATTCACTACCGGTAACTCTCATGCTGCTTCTCTTGCCCTGTCTGGCCTGAGCTCCTTTTGGCAAACACTGTTCTATTGACTGTCTTTATACCTATTCTGAACAGCTTATATAAATGTGCCCTTTTCTGATCGACGTCTTTCACTTAGCCTGCTGTTTCCAAGATTCACCCATGGCATAGCCTGTATCAGTACTTTGATCCTTTTTCATTGCTAAATTAGATTAGATAGAGCTAGAACACAAATTGTTGTCTATTCATGAGTTGACAAACTCTGTCTTTCAAAAGATGAGTTTACCAGGTGGTACTTACTGTGCTTATTGATAAATTCAGATTTATTTCTGCTATTTTATTTAGTGTTTTCTGTCTGCTTTGTATTTGTGCCATAATTTCTGCCTTTTCACCTTCTGTATATAAGACCAATAAAATTTTAATATACAATTTTCTTCTGTTGGTTTGAGTTTTATGTATTTGTGCATATATTCACACTGCTACTTCTAGTGATAATCATTATAGTTTTCACATATATACTTTTCAAGTCTAAAATTTATCAGTTTTCCCTTCTTTATCTGGAAAAATACAGTACTTACAATGCCATTCCATTGTACATGTTAAGGACATTTTATAACTACTTTGTACATTTTATAGCTATTTGGCCTCTGTAAAGCCCTTAATTATATTTTAGATTCTTAGATTCACATCATGTATTTAAGTTGATTGTTCAGACTTGCTTCTTGCATTTCATTTTTTCCTCCTGAGTTGAAATTCTTTTGCTGAATCTTATCCTGAGAAAGAGCTAATTCTGAATGCCCATTAGTGGTACACTTCATCATTTTAAGGAGAGTATTTTGACCTGAGTTTTAAATAATAGATTAATAGGCTTAAAAAGTTTTAGGTTAACACCTTCTGTATTACAGAATATTATTCCATGTTCTTCTGTCTTCAGTTGTTACAGTAAGAAGTCAGTTGACTGCCTTGGCATTTCTTGTACCACTGCATCTGATCTTTTTCTTGTTGCTTTTAAGAATAATTTTGCCTCTGGTCAGGCAAGCCAAGGCATGCTTGTGATCCCAGCCATTAAGAAAGCTGAGGCAGGAGAATTAGAAATTTCCCAGCTGAATAATTTAAAAGGACCTTGGCTTCAAAAAAATTGTGATTGGATGTAGCTCAATAGATCACTCCTGTACCAACCCCCCTTTCTTTTTGCTTCAATGAGTTTAAATTTGTATTTCATTGAACTTGTTCTTCCCACACTCATTTATCTTCCTGAACCTAAGGATTTATACTTTAATTCAATTCTAGATAATTGTCATCCATTATTCACTTTGAATATTGCCTTGCTCCTATTTTCTGTCTTGGAAATGTGTTTATTGGACTCTTATTCTGTCATCCAAGTTGCTTAACTTCCTCTTCATATTTCCCATTCTCTTAAATTTTTATCTTGCATTCTGGGTCATTTTCTCATATTTATCATCCAGCTTACTAATCTTCACTTCAGACAAATCTAATCAAGTGATTGAAACTGTCCAAAGAGTTTCTAATCTGTCATTATATTTGTGATTTTTAAAAGTGGTATTTGGTTCTTTCTCAAGTCTGCTTTGTTTTTCTTAAAATCTTTTGGAAATTCTTCCTTTTACATCTTTAATCATTTTAAACTTACGTTATGGCCTCATAAATTCTTGGCATCTGATCCTGCCATTGCAACTGCCATCTGATGGTAGATTGTATTTTAAATTTCATGTTTTGAGTTCATCTTTGACAGAGGCTTGTGGGAATACTATGATGGGGCATCAGTTTTGGACATGTTCCCTGGAAGAGATTTTTGTTTGCTTTTGCTGTATGTCCACACATATTTCAGGCCAGTTCAAATTGTCAAGTTAATTTCATAGCACATGTGTTCCCAGAATATAAATATAGTGGGAAGGGTGATTCCAAATTTAAAGTATCTGTACTGCGTAGGTACAAGTCCACAGCTGTACAGTCTCAGGTGCAACTTTACCTCCTATCCTACATCTAGCTCAGGAGAGATTTTCTTTTCTTGATAGTATTGGTGGACAGCTAAAAGAGTCTGATTTTCCTTTTTTTCTGGACATTACAGCATTTCTCTTACTCTCTTACAATCTCAGAAAGGATGTTTGCCCTGTTTTACTTAGAATTGTAGGAATTCAGTGACATGGGATTTTGGGGGAACTGAATGTGCTCTGTTTCCAAAAGCAGAAATCTAGGAAGTTTATTTTCCTGTATTTAAAAGAGATTATATTGAACATTTTCTCTAATGTGGAAAAATTTCAGTGTACTATTTATTTGCAATGGATTTTAGAATGCGAACCATTTGGGATTTAAAAAACCTGTTGAATTACTTCATTCTTTAAATTAACCTGGGAACCACTCTCTCTAAATTTGCATTTGACATTTCTTGAAACAATATTCATTAATAATGAATTCTATATTGGAATCTTGAGAACAGTACATAAGCAATCATAGGAATAGAACCTATTTGTGTATTAGTTGCAACTCTTAACAACAAGTAATACAATCTCAACTCTAATTGGCTCAAGCAAAGAAGGGGTATTTATTCACTTAACTGAAAAATCCTGGTGTACGTTGTTTGCATGCTTAGGAAAGGTAGAGTCTGTCTCTTTTAACCACTTGGTTCCCCTTTCTTCTCTGTTGGCTTTGTCTCATTTGGACTCTTTTGGCATAATGGCAAGATGTTTTCTAACAGCTACAGTTAAAGAGGGCTTCTATTTGCCAGTCTAGCACATGTGGGACTGGTCTATAGCTCAGGTCAACTGTCCATTCCTGAAAAGTCCACAGAGCTGGGGTGGGGGTGATATACTCAGTGGGACTGGTTTCAAGAGGGTGGCTAGAGTTCGCTTTGGTCAAACTATGTAGGCTGTGAATGGAAGAGGATAGTTCTGAATGGAAGAGTGTAGTTCTCTGAGAAATCTCTGGAAGCTGGGTAAGCAAAGCACTACAATGTTTCTATCATCTAATTTCCTATTTGTATTTACTGTTCATTTCAGGACAGTGTTGAATTTAGAAACATCTGCAGTCATTTGGCTCTGCAAATGGAAGGACAGCAGTTTGACAGAGACTTGAATGCTGCTCACCAATGTTTGAAGACGATAGTCAAGAAGCTGATTCAGTCACTTGCTAATCTTCCTTCAGATGCCCACCTGGTTGCCTGCGCTTCCTTGAGACAGATCTTACAGAATCTCCCAGATACGTGATGGTTAAAAGCATCAGAATGTAGGTCACCGTGTTAAGAGAACTGGATTCATTATCTTCCTAACTTCATCAGCAGACAATGGTGATTTTTATTTCTATCAAGCACACTTGTAGTAGTGTGTCAGTGGTAGTCTGTAGCCTTTACAATTATGGCATGTTAGTGAAAAAATTTTAAAGCTCTATTTCACATTTAAATATGCTGACCTACTTGCTACTTCAATTGAAACATATTTCATTTTGTGAAACTGATTGGATTACATGCATATGTATTTATTAATTCGTGTGTTAGTTTTCACCAAATGATACCTTATTCTGCATTCATATTAATGTGCGCTATAGGGTTTAAGATTATTTATATTAAGATCCATGGAATTTAAAATTATCTTGAATAAATAGATTCAATAAATAGGGTGTGTTCTACTTGCTGGGCACTTCACTTTTGGTTATGAGAATAAGTTTTAATTATAGGACCATGTGAGTCAGTACAGTAATCATGAGTTCCGATCCTGGCATTAATATATAACTTACTGTTGGAAAGGAAGCACTGGTTCTAAACTTTGTGCTTTCGTATCCTGACTTTTAAACTTCCAGTGATGAACTCTGAAGCACTAGGGCCACATGATATGTAAATACAAAACATAATATTATTAGTCTTATAGAAACATCCAGCTCTTCTTATTGTTTGTAACTATTCTGATTGAAGCGGGACATCCTTATGAAAAAAGGAGTGTAAGTGTAATGGCAGGTTTCCCTGACCATTTAGACACTGAGGATTTGAAGAGAGAGGGTGACTTGTTTTTTTTGTTAGCAAAAACAATCTGTACATACTTAGAAAACCTAAGCTCCCTCTTGTTCAATGATGACTGTATGAGAACAAAAGTAAGGTGCAGGGCTTGTTCTCTATCAAAGATTAAAGAGAAGCAGCATTGGATTAGAAAGAAAAGATTACAGTGTATGTGTACAGCTTGTTTCCTAAAAGCATTGTGAACTGGGCTCATGTGGTGAGTGTACCCCTATCTTAAAAAAGAAGTGCTTATAGTAGTCAAAGCCTTTTTAATTCCACCTATCCCAATCCTAGTTGGTTCCAAATGTTTTCTTCTAGCATATGAGAATGAAAGGTTTTCTCCTTCAGTGTAACTATTTCCACAGAAAAGAATGTGAGAAATATGAAGCTAAATTCTGAAGGAAAGAGGGACGTTTTGTTGAACATGTGCATGATGGCATCTCTTGGAAGGCAAGAAGGAAGACATTTATTTCTAGGGAACACTCTTGACTAATGATCTTTTCTCAATTCTAAGAGAGATTTTATTTGGGTTCGGGGTATGACTTTGTTTTAGGAGGAGGCTTTTCCCCCCCAAGAGCACTTACCCCAGTGCTCTCTTAAAGACTCATCAGTATGCACGTCTGCCTTCCCCACTGTAATTAATAATTCTCCCAATTTTAAGGGTTTTTTTTTTTGCAGTGGGGAGGGGGTATTCTTACCCTGAGACATTGAACATTTTTGGCTTTTCTATCATTGCTTATGCTTTTTCTTAACTTTGAATGATGTCTTTTGCATGTAATTAAAATCTTCCTCATTCTTCAAGGCCAGATTTACCTGCCACCAGATATGAACCCTTCTGGACTATCCTAATAAGAGGTGAATTTTTCTTCACCTTAACTTTCACAGAGCACATTTGGAGCTACTTCTCTAGTATTTGTGTTATACCATCTTTGTAGCACTTGGTTATTGGGGCCTCTGCCAAGAATATCAGTTTGTGCAGGCAAGAAATTTTCTAGACCTCTTCGTGTGGTTCATAGCACATACAGCTCTAAAAGTTTTTGATGCTATTAGAACAGTCCATTGGCCCTCCCATCATTTTACAACTCCTCCCCATTTTAATTTTTATGTATTGTCACAGAGTGAATCTGTACAGTCATTTCATTGTACATGCCACGAATACCCTCTGCCTCTTTCCCAGGACCCTCAGTCTTCCCCATTAGCCCTGTGTTGTTTCGTAGATTTGTGATATGCAATATGGTAGGCAATGGCCATATATGACTATTCATATTTGAAATGTAGCTTGTTTGAATTGAGATACTCTTAAAACATAAAAAGCACACTGGCTTTTGAAAACAGTACTAAAATTAAAAAAAAAAAACTTTAACTATCTAAATGTACCTCATTCTTTTTACTTTCACTATGCCTACTAGAAAATTTTAAATTCTGTAGGTAAGATGCATTATATTTCAGTGGGACAGTGCTGTTCTAGAAAATTCATTACACAATATATACTGCTGTCTTTGACAATTCACTCTGAATGTTGTTCTAAACCTTCTCAAACTTAACCCTAAACTGCCCTCCCCATTTTCAATTGATGACTTTGCCTCTAATTGCAGAGGATGATGAAAGCCATCAGAAAGCATGTGGATCATCTCAGTAGCAGGTCCGCCAGCTTTGCATGTGCACCTGTATGTTTTGAGTTCCTTTCAGTTTTAAGGAGGACCTGCCCTCCTCCCACCTGAGGCTGGCCAGTCATTCAGGTCCTAGATCCTGTCCTTTTTCACTCACTCATTGACTGCCCTTTGCAGTCTATCCCTTGTGTGCATCATCATCTTTTGCTTCTCAGGAACATTTTCCTAGCATGATATTATGGTGTAGTGTGTCTCGTATTTTCACTCCCTTAATAGTAAAGCTCATTGCAATAATTTTCCAACTCAATTGTCAACATATAATTTTTCCTTGTCTCTTCTTAACTCATTCTAAGTGAAAATTGTTCCCACAACTGCTCTTGTCAAGACGTCCAATGATTCCTTCACTAACAAGTTAAATGAAAAATCTCAACTTTCATCTTTTTTGATCTACCAGCAACTTTGGACACAGTTGATTACTCATTTCACAAATCATCTTCTATGTTTCCAAGTTAATAGACGTTCATGGTTTTAGGTTTTCACTGGATTCCTCCATATACCTTTTTTTTGTCTGTCCAAATCTCCTGATTTCTTGATTTTGGGGTGTTCCAGGAGTCACTTTTGACCCTTAATTTACACTTACTCCCTGGTGATTTTAAATGCCAGTCATTAATCATTGACACCTGTCTTCTGATTTAATCTCTAGATTTCTGTGTCCAACTGACTTTAGACTATTTCTGCTTGGATATTTAAAAGGCATTTCAAATTTCAAAATGGAATTCTTGATTCCCTAATCTGCTTCTCTCCATCTCCCAAATCTCATTTGGCTGTGACTACTACCTTTCTGGTAACATTATAAAAAGTTCTTAGATTCTTCCTTCAATGCTGTGGTACTCTTGCCTGTACTCATAAAATCAACAAATCCTATTGGCTTAACCTTCAAAATATGTCTCAAATCAAATAATTTCTTAATACTTCTATGACTACTGCCATAGTCCTAGGTACAGTTAACCTTTGCCTAGATTGTTGTAGTATCCCAAAATAGTTATGCTACCTCAGTGCCCCCTTTCTACCATCTCTTCCTCACACATCAGCCATAGTAGTAGAAGTCAGTTCAGTTAGAAATATTTTTATCTTTAAGCCATCAATGACTTATTTTTATTAAAATAAAATTCAGATTCTGCCCATGCCCTACTACACTTCTATTCTAAAATGCATGTTTCTTTGTCATCTTTATCTCTTCAAATATAACATCTGCATAAGGGCTTTTGTACTTCCTCTTCCTTCTACTGAAGGATTTTATTCTCATCTACTTCAAGTAGGTCTCTGCAGTCTGTCACCCATTAAAAAGCCTCCTCGTCTCCTTAACAAAAATAGCATCTCTGTCACTCTCTTTCCTGCTTTTCCCCTCATTGTTCTTGTAATCATCTGAATTTATTGGATTTCTATAGTATTTGTCATCACCGTAAGTTGTGGGCCTCAAGAGAAGTGTTCATGTTATAACAAGGGATGCTGTGGCAATTCTGTATGGTTAAAAAAGTGAATATTACCTTAGATGGTGAAAGAGATGATTATCTTAAGGATATTGTGCTGAGACTGTCTGTGTTTATTTGGGTGGGGACTTTAAATGCTGCCACACATGTCCTATAAAGAAGAGGCAGAAGCAGACACCATAGGCAGAAGAAGAGAAAGTAATGTGTTCGTGGAGGCAGAGGGTGAAGTGATATACCCATAAGTCAAGGAATGCTGATAACAATTAAAATCTAGGTAAGACCAAGACTGATGTATTTTCTAAAGACCCCAAAGGGAATGCTACCTCTGCCTTGAGACAACTTGATTTTGGACTTCCGCCCTCCAGAACTGTGACATAATATATCTCTGTTGTTTAAGACACCCAGTTTGTGTAATTTATGATAGTCGCCACAGGACCCTCATCCATGTTGTGACCCAAAACCATGGTGTGTATTCAGATTTTTAAAAAAAGGTTTTACAGTAAAGGACACATCGTTATTAATCTCTCTCGGAATACTTTCCTTCACTCAAATACACTCATCACATCATTCTTGCTAATTTTTGAAGCAGTTGTTGGAGTTATTTTTCATGAGTTAGTTCTGCAGTCATAGTTTTGCTTATGTCCTGACTTGGTTAAAAACATTGCTTTTACGTTTGTCTGGACTTTGGAGGAGAGTCAACAGGAAGCTGCGTGGCACCAGCTCTGGTGAATAAGGTGGAGGAAGATGTACCACCCTGTTTTTAGACGTTGTCTTTCTGTTAGATGGCACTTGGCTGCAGTATTCACCATATTTTTAATCATGCCTTGTAAATACACTCATGAAAGATTTCTAGAACTACTTCAGAAAGTGGAGGGAAATATTTTGACGGAGATTAATAGTAATATGTCTTTTATTGTAATAGTTTAAAATTTAAACATTCATTATGCTTGTTTAATACACCTTGAACACTTGCCTTTCCTTGGTAGAATGTAAGTACTAGGGATGTTATTCATGGCTGTGTTCCATGCTTGGCACAGAGTAGCCGCTCAATAAATATTTGATGAATGAAGATGTACAAATCATGTGGTTAGTCAATTAGCCATTTTTTAATAAAATGTTGTGGTGTCTCCAGAAGTTCTCCAAATCTTATGTATTTGAAAAATATCTGAATTCAAAGAAAAAGTGAAAAAGATAATTTTAAGGGCTAAATTTAATTAGGTGTTGAATTACAATACAATCGTGTAGCAATCAGTTGTAAGTGGCTAATAGTCCTGGTCATCCTAACAATTAGTGGGCTGTCCTGAAGAATTATCCTTTACCCTCAATTTTCCTGTGCCATTCTTTTTCTCTTCTCCCATACCTTAAAGTCAGCCTGTATGTTTTCTAAATGTGAGACCATACAATAACTTGAGCAATATGCGACACTTTCATGAAGACAGGTTGTGGGTATCTTTTCTTAATTCTGAAGCAAATGGGTCATCTGGTATTTTGTCCACTGAACTGCCTCGAGTATTTCACTCTGCCAGTTTGTGGATGGTACAAACACATTTGCTGATGGGTCTAAAGAAAGGACCTTACTGGAGCCTTCCTAAATAAAGCTGAATAACTGAGTGACAAAGTGGTATCCATGCCCCTTCCGTGATCCTTTGACACCTTCCTTGCTGCCTTCTCTACTTTTCTGCAAGCTCTTAGCACTCTAAAGTCCACCTATTTCTACATTTTTAACTGTCTGCCTTATTCTTCAAGTTCCCTTGGGTGTGTTCCATTTTTTTTCATTTTCATTAACAGCTTTCTTCCTCTGCTTAAACGCTGTTGCACTTCTAAGTGATACAGTTTCTTCCCGAAGTGAATTAATTTCCTTGATTTAAATGAAGGCCTTTGGAGGGTAGGAAACTACTTAGGAGGGTAGGAAACTACCAACAACAGACAGAACATTGGACTGCAAGAAACAAGCCTTTCACATCTTAAAATCCTCCTCCAACAGTTGGCTGTATTTTCAATTTTTCTTCATGCACCAGTGCCAGAACCTTATGCGGTAAATCTATCTGAGATGACTATAAATTCTGTGGATCCATAAATTTCAAGACACATTTAATTCAGCAAAACTTCAGCTAAGATGTGTTCTGTATCATCTGGGTATCCTCGTCAGGGATCCGAGTGCTCCATTCAACAGCCAAAAAATTACTACAGACAGTCCTGGTTTCACTTAACTGTGTATCAGGATCAAAGGTCTAGACCATCATAGCCCTGGCGTGTGTTCCAGAGGGCTTTATCTTTGTCTCCTGTGACTTGTTTACTGCTATGTTTAGTAGACATAATGCTCAAAACTGAGCTGTACTTTCTAAATTTCTCTTCTCATAGACAAGCTCCATGCTCACAGTCATAAGTTAAGAGACACTTCCAAGGCTGGCAAAAGCTTTTCCTGGCACAGAAGTACCATTAATGTTTTTCTCCTTGCCTGGATAAAGACTTTGGTAATAATCACAGTTTCATTTTCTTTTTCTTTAAAAAAATTAGAATATGTCTATAGAGCATATCAGTATCTGGCAGAAAAGCAAATTCCCAGTGACCCTAGGAACAAGTTGCTGCAGAAAAATGTTGGCTTAAATTGATACAAAGAGGAGAGTCAGCAAATGCCTCATCTCCTCTGTAGTTCGCAATGCAACTTAAGAATACAGGAATATAGCACCAGCTTTGAACACTGTGTGTGTGTGTGCATGTGTGTGTGCATGTGTGTGTGTGTGTGTGTGTGTGTGTGTGTGTGTGTGTGTTGGGGACAGAAGAAGTAAGGAGAGGACAGGAATTTCCTTGAACCTGAAGTTCTAATGAAGAGACAGTGAGATAATTTGGAAAATCAATTTTCTTGAGATAGCCACAGTCTTACTTTAAGAATTCACCTAATAAGTTTTGTTAGTTTTTTGATTTGCCCACATTGTTCCTCAAGCATGACACTCTTCATTCATTAAACATATAATGACTGCGAAGTGCTGATGTGACAACTCTTTCATTCAGATCTCCTACTCTGTCTCTTCATCCTTGATCATCTCTCAGCACCTCTCTATCTCTTGGACCAGCTTTCACAGATTTTTGAGCAAGGCAACAGAAGACTATACAAGGAATTTTGGCTTTTTGTGTACAAATATTTTTCTATGCATAAAGTTGTCAGATGTTGTTGTCTGTCAAATTTTCAGATATCCTCTTATCTTCCTTCCAGTTTCAGGTTACATATTTGTTAGGCACCTATTTCCTGTATAGTGCAGAATCGAACTATATGTGTGTTTTCCAGGAAAAATGTTCACATTCACAACGGAAGAATAGTCGAACCCAGAGAAAATATAAATAAAGTTCTATCAGTCTTACTGTTTCATGGCAGTTTTGATTGGTGGAGAAGGGAACGAATGAGAAACTTTTTGAGGTCATTGCATTCATACTTTTACGTAATTAAAGTTAAGTGGTTAGTGTGGTACCTGTATCACTCTCTATTATGATTAACCACTTTAGAAATCATAAATGAAAGCATTTTCTTGCCTTGGGCTGCTAGAAGGAATTTGCACTTGTTGGTTTCTCTTTTCAAAACTCATATCACGAATAACATGAACATGATATTTCCAAGTGTGGCTTTGTTCTTTTAAGATAGGTCCACATTTTCACTTTACAAGAGAAGCTGTAAAATGTGTGGTGACAATGAGCTTACTAAAATGGATGGACACCCATTTCCATATCTTGTTCATCTTTTTGGAGCTTAAACTAGACTAAAGGATATTGACTAAAAGCTATACTAAAAGCTTTTTTAATTTCCTATCAGATGTTACTGGTAATCTTTTGTCAATTAAAGAATTAAAATTGTACATTGAAGTTTAATATAATCTTTAAAAATACATATTGCTTAGAGTGTCTATTATTATTATTATTAACTATTATTTTTTAGATGGAGTTTCACTCTGTAATACAGTTTGACCTTGAACTCACTGTGTAGTCCAGGCTAGACTCAAATTCATGGTGCTTGCCTCAAGCCTCCTGAGTGTTGAGATTATAGGTGTGTGCCTCCACACCCAGCTTTATGTTTGTATCTTTTACTATTTTAAATATGAAATATAAGTAACCAATTATAAATTGGTTACTTATTTCAAAGACTAAGACATAAAATTTTCTTTCGTTTTAAGGTAACTTGTAATGCTGTCTTACTTACTTTTCTTATTGCTGAGACAAAATATCCAACACCCAAAATTAAAGAAGGAAAGGTTTATTTCAGCTCACAATTTGGAGGTTTCAGTCCATAGTTGGCAAGTTCAAAAGCAGAGTGACATGGTAGAGGGACATCACAGAAGAGAAATAGTCCATGATGTATCAGGCAGAAGGCAGCAAACAGCAGGAGCAAGCCTGCCTTCCTTCATTTCCTTGTATTCCACCTAGACTATAAGCTAATAATAATAATTATAATAATAATAATAATAATGTCTTTTTTGAGACAAGGTCACACTCTGAAGTTCAGGCTAACCTTGAACTACTTTGTAGCCTAGGTTGGCCTTGAATTTGTAGCGATCTTTCTGCCTCAGCCTCCCAAGTGCTGGGATTTATGGGGATGTGCCCCCATACTGAGTAACATAAACCTATTGATTGATGGCACCTACACCAAAGTGGGGTTCCATTATTCACATCCAGAAATATGTTAAACTTATTTAGTTATCTCACACACCCTAGATCCACACACCTCCTAAAGCCCAACCTATGAGAGTATGAGGCTTTGGGGGACATATAGACACAAGCCAAGCAAATGTCTTTAAGGAAACAAATGTCCTTAGAAATTCTATTTCAATCTAATCACAAGGAAAGTTGCTACAATTTATAAAAACAGATATTCCATCAGAAGTAAATAAAAGTTATTAAAAGTAGTACATTTTGTCTCAAGATAACTGAGCCATAAAACAGCAGGTGTTTAAATCACTACTTTAACATTTAAACCAAAGAGCTCTATCATTTACTTTAAAGTGTTACTATATTAGACATAAAAATTGCAAACAAATTAGAAGTTCCTTTTTAATTATCTAAGAGAAGATTGTTTTACTTTTTCTCAGGGATTGAAGACAGGGTCTTGTGCATGCTAGACAAGGACTCTACCCCTGAGCTATGTTCCGTGATAAAAAAGGCTTTTCAAGCTGTTGTTCTTCTTCTTCCTAAAGCTTTCATCAATTGGAAAGAACTCAGATGCATCAATGTAAATGCATGCTTCATGTGACACATCTCTCAAACCACACAGAGGAGAGTTCTGATTTTTGTAGATGCTTAGGGGGAAAAGGCAAAATCTTGTTGGTCTTTAATATTTTGAGAGCATTTGTCTTTTTATACACAACAGCTAAAATTTAAAAAGTAGTTTTAATTCTAATTAATGTTTTTTTCCTGTCCTTCTACAGTTTTTGATGTTATAATGTCAATATTTTCCTCAGTTAGTTAAAACCTATCATAAATCTTATCTTTGACAAGAATTACACATCTGAAAAACTATACATAACTATTCACGTATATCAATAAGTTGTATCCCAAGTTTCAATTGTGATTAATTGAAAACCATTTTTCAAATAATTTTTAAAATTTTAAGGGTAGTAAAATCCAACAGAACAAAGCCAATCAGAGCAATGCTGCAAAATTGGTGCGGACTTTCAAAGCAGGAAAACAGTAATAGCTACCATAGTATATCTTGTTATCTTTACAATAGTTGTCCATCCCATCAGGAATATAAAAATCAAACAAAAAATCACTATAAAACCAATCAAAACAGAATATTAAATAAAGCAAAACAATCAGATCAAAGCAAACAGTGAAAACAATGTTGGACTTCAAAGACAAGACAGAAGGCGATCCCCCATATTTGCTATATTGCATACTGCTATCCTCCCAAGAGATGCTCGGACCACTGGCCCCAGGCCTGCATTATCAATTAGACAATACAAGCATTTAGCTGGAAAGCCATTTGTTTTTATTTAGTGAAGTTTGTGCGTTTCTGTCCACATGGCTATGGTATCAGACTGTGCTTTGCCCTAGACACATGGAAACAGGACTTTTATAACTGCTTTCCATTCACTTAGTTACAATCAAGCTGTTGATCTTGTCACAGCCTCCCTTGCCTTTATTGTACATTTCTGTGCACAGACCAAAACTCCCCTTTGAAAATCTTAACCACGCATGCATACAGCAATGCGTTTCTGATGGTGCTATCCAGAGCCAGCAGACTGAGGGCTGAAAGGTCTGTCAAACAACCTGTGGAAGCAGCAGGCTACTTCAGGAGGTGCTTCTCCAGGCAAAGGTGATTGGCAAAACCCACTGGGGCATTTCAGGCATGGGATCCAGTGCCATTCCTTATGCTCTTCTCCACACCACGCGGTGGATCCATAGTGTGTTCAATAGCATTTCAATTGAAAACAGGATTCTGGCCTGAAAAAGGTAAAAATGAATAGTGTAAATAAGTGAATTGAACAAGAAAAACCCCAAACACTGATATTCACCAATTTATTCCTGTTTTTATAATAAAGCTTCTGGAGATAGGTCTACTTCCCCTAATTCTCGAGCAGGTCTCCTCTAAAGCATCGGGCTGTTGGGGGTGGAGTCTATTTTTACTTAGCTCAGTGTCCCCAGATTATGTGGCTGTCATTGGAAGTTTGGTGATGCTGGGATTTGGGGAAGGAAGCATGAACACCAAATCTATCCACTGATTATTTTTTGTCTCTGAGCAGAAAGAATCACTGAAGTCTCTGCCAGAAATGTTTGCAGGTGAGCAAACTTCTCTCTCAAAAAATACCAGTTATACTGATTTTTTCTGGGCAAAGATCCAGCCAAAGTCCCAGACAAAGTCCCAGCCAAATTTATGCATATTTGTTAAACATACAGCAGTGCCAAACTCAGCACAAAGACCATACAACACTGTTCATTATGACTGTGGGCCCATCTAAGCCTAAGGCTGCATTTTAGGAAATCTGCTGCAGATGGACCAACATTTTGATGCTCTTTTTTCACCTCTCTGCTTCCTTCATACTCAAAATTCTTTTTTTTAGGCCCTTACTTTAGCATGCAGTTTCTGCCTAAACCTTCCTGTTTGTAAGGCCCTTATAAACGAATAAAAGCTTAGACTGAAACCCTAAGGAAAGTAGGACTCTCCTTGGATAGTGCTTTATCTCACACACACACACACTGCATTTATACACTTGCACATATATGTCTTTGCCATGCACATATATACATATGTGCACACACATACACGCACATGCATACACACATATTCTTACATGAAACCACTGGGGAGTTTATGCTTTCATTGGTACAAGTTATTCTGAAAATGTTCAGAATCCTTTCTACAGTGACACTCCTTTTAAAAATGAATTTCTGGGGTCAGGTTTATTACAAAGAAAATATTAAGCTCTTTGAAATTCCACAGAGCTTTAATGATTGCAGGCTCTTGAAGTGTTTAATATGAATTTCGCCAAACTTTCAAATAAACTAAAAAATTCACAACATTTGAATTCCTCCTGCGAAGCTCTGGAAATCCAGATTGTTGAGATCGGGTAATGACGGATGACTCTACAGGCTGAGTGTGAACAGCGCACAGTGACACATTTCCTGTCTCCAAGTGCTCTGCACAGTAAGTTCACTGTGGTCTTCCCCTGATGCAGTAGGGAACAGGGCTGACTCCAGCCATTATCTTCAGCTTTCAGGAGTAAAATGGGGACTAGGAAGATGTAGAGAATTGACCTAGATACCTGCATTCATTACAGGGCTCTGCTCTTCTTGGGAGCTCTTTAAGCAGATTACATTTTTCTTGTTAAATGTTCATTTCTTTTAGAAAATAAAGGCACTAATAGGTGGTAAAAATATTTTATTTGCTTAAATAGCCTTTTTTTAAAGAGGGGAATTCTGGATTAGTTTTAGAATCAATTTCAGGTCTGAATGTGATGTCTGGAGAACATTGCTGGAGGACTGTCAAATCTCTAGACCTGAGGGGAAACAGCTTCTGGAAGGAAGGCCTACCACCACTGAAATTCTCCAGAGGATTTAGCTGTGTTTTTTTTTTTTTTTTCTTAAGGAGACCATGTCTTCTAGACAGTGTAGGGAATGAGATGGTGAAGGATTCATTATGTTAGTTTTTTTTCTTTTAGTGACACCCACAGAAGTACAGATGGATTAAATGCACAGTCTTCCTAAAATGTGAAGTAATAAGCAAGGTTGAAAGAATTGTTGTTACCCAAATATCATGAGCAAGTTGCTTCCGTTGTTGATCTGTTCTTGTGCTGCTGGCTCAAAGGATCATCGCCTGTGACACTGTGTAACAAACAGTGTCCCCAGGTGTTTACTTTTTCCTAACAAATAC